TGTCATGTGACATAGGTGAAAACTATAATCACTACAACTCACTTACTCCCTTGGGAAATAATGACTGCATTTTTTGACTTGAAGCAATCAGGTTGTGCACTTTAGAACAAGCAAATTTTTGTAATAGCTAATGTAAAGTAAATGTTTTCTCCCCATCATGACAGTTAAACAGTCTTAAATGAGGAAGTGAGTTGTAAGAAGCAAAACAGACATTTACTCCCTTCTTAAGAAATCTTGCAGGAGTGCTGGACCCCTTTGGGGACATTGAGAGTCAAGGGGAAAGAAAATGCTTTTTCCTTGGGAGCCAGTCATAGAGTGCCTATTAATATTCTCTGTTGGACTTAAGAAGATAATTAATAACAATTATGATCACAGTTATTTCATTCACATTCTGCACTATTAGGTGGGACGCTTGGATCCTGATCATGGCCGGGTGGGGGGTCACAAACAAGATGTGTTGGATGTTGCCTGGAATCCTTTTGATGACAACATGATTGCATCATCATCAGAAGATACCACTGTGAAAATTTGGCAGATTCCAGATGAGGGCCTGGGCAAACAAATTCTTCAGGAACCTCTATTAACTCTGGAAGGAACTTCTCATCAAAGAAAAGTGCATCAAATCCTGTGGCATCCTGTTGCATCCAATATTCTACTTAGCGCCAGCTTTGACCCAATGATTATTATCTGGAACTTGGAAACTGGAGAAGCTGCTGTAGAAATTGACTGTCACCCAGATCTCATACATTCTGTTTCGTGGAATACCGTTGGAAGCAAAATTGTCACCTCCTGCAAAGATAAGAAGATAAGAGTCATTGATGTGCGCAAAGGAGAAGTCATTTGTGTAAGTTTAATTGATGTACCTTGTGCTTCAATCTGCTTAAGCTTGCCATTTGAAATATGCTTCCAATGGAATAAACCATTTTGAATCTCTTTTACAACTATACAAGTGGTGTCACAAGCATTATTCAAATTGCAAAATTGGCCAAGACTTCACTTAACATTTTAAGATGCTTTTGAATATGATTAATGAGACAAACACTTTGTAAAGGGTTTTCTTATCAATAGAAACTTTTACTTGTCATGATATAAGATGGCATCTTGACATAAAAGAAGAAATTCCATCCCATTTAAGGTGGCTCGTACCGGTTTTCATCTTTTTGATGGTTTGTAACTTTGAAAGAATACAACAGAAAGACTGACCAAGGCCAGTTGAACACTTTTATGGGGTTGAATTACATCATCATTGGTTATCCAAAAATAAGTGTCATTTGGTCACTAGCAGTTTCCACGGCAATACTTTCATAGGCTTCTTCAGACGCATTTTTTAGCATGTGGCTTAAATAGTTCGAAAACTAACCCGGTGACCCCCTCATTTTTTTCAATGATTGCTTTTGGCACTTGAAAAGGAAAATGCACAAAGATTTTTAAAAAATTCTACAGAGCGGAATTTCAGAAAATCTACAAATAGGGCAATTTTCACACATCGCAAATTTCCTTCCGTAGAATTTTCTAATTTTTTTTTTATGATTCCTTTT